CAAGATTACGGACACAGGCGCGAGTTCATGGCTGTATGGGCCGGTGTTTGATTGCGACGGGCGCGCGTGGGCGTGATGGCGGTCGAGAGCGGGCGAGCAGTGCAGTACGTGAGAGGATGAGAAGAGGGATTTCACGCTTGCATTCCCGCAGGACGTGACCGGCCGGGCCTGCATCCAGCCGGCCTCCATGAGCTCTTGGTCTGGTACGTGAATGAATGAGTACGCAGGTTGAGATGGACGTCGAAGGAGACACTGGAGCTGTACTTACCTTTGCCCGAAGAGTAGAGGTCACGGAAGACGCGCCGCTTGGGCTCCGATCCGGTACCGCGGGGAGCCATGGCTTGGTTCTGCGCGTCGCCAAAGCGCTCGTGCGCTCTTCCACACACTTCCGACGAGCGGATTACCATTAACATGGCCGTCTCCCGGAGTGTGGAGGAAGACGAATGGAGAGTGCTGGCCGGGATTGTGCACGGCTCGTCGCGCGATGTTTGAGAGCTGGTACGTGGGCCAGCGCGGATTGCGGGTGGAAAGCGCAGTGGTTCAGGCTCGCGCGATGACGTGGCAAATGGGGACCGCTGGCGACAAGGCGTGGGCGCGCGGCCTGCCAGTAGAGCAACTGGTCTTTGTTCGAGACAAAATACGTGCGGGTACAGTGTGTCGAATGCTCGGTAGCGTGTTGGTGACTGTCGGAGACGAGGTCGAGCTCGCGTCGGAGGCCAGTGGGTTGGCATCACGGTTGGCGTATGTGGGAGCAGAGAAAGCGTTGGAAGCGGACGGCGGTGTGAGAGCGGACTAGATCAACAGAGACGGGACGTGGCTCAAGGAGTGAGCACCGAGGAAAGGAGTCGGGCTGTGCACCCCCGGGCCCGGGCGTGGGCAGCGCGGAGGGCAGGCAGAGGACGGGCAGAGGACGGGCGGCAGGATGTGAGCGGCGGCGCAGGCATGGAGAGCGCGAAGGCACATCTAGCAAGGGCACGGCGGGCTCGAAGGCGGATCGAGCACAGGAGAGAAGACGGAGGGAAGACGTAGGTGTTGCGGACGGGCAGCGGTGTGTAGTGCAAGACAACGAGGGGTGTCGTCATTGGCTGTATGCGCCCGGCGCGCGCTGGCTGTATGCGCTTTGGCGAGAACTGCGGTCGAGTGGGCGGTCGAGAGCGGAGACGCGCGCACGATCGTGACAGGCGGCGAGCGACGAGGAGCGCAAAGACGTTCTGATGACGTGCTTGCTGAGCCCGGCCGTCGTCGGCATATGCCTGGTCGAGAATGTCTGCGTCCAGAGCTTGCTCGCGCGCGACGAGCAGCACGAAGAGCCTGGCTCAAACTCGTGGTTGACGTTCCAAGACACTCGCGACCCACGGCCAGCCTCTTCAAGGATGCCGAAGATCCCGGCCTCGTTCCGCTTCTCGCTCTTGCAGCCTTCGGCGACCAAACACTGCACATCACGCCAAATTTCCTGGCAGGATATGTCTGGGATATAACGAATATCGCAGATTTATCCAAGGTCTTTCCTGCCAGGAAGGTTCTGGAATATTCCTCGAAACTTCCCCTTTCCCCAGAAATATCCTGTGCACATCCCGGCTGGCGCTTCCAGGGTACTCGCTATTCCGGGTCGTGCGCGCGTTCGTGGCTGTCTGATGGTTCATACGATATTGGTTAAAAATGTATATTCTGACATCTACGCTACTGACACGTGCTACAGGGATGCGGAGATACTAGCGGTAACTGGGATTCACAATAGTACGCAGCAGCTGGTCGCGGTCGGGGAGCAGGGTCCGCGCAGGTTCAGTCCGAGTCGACAGCCTCCGGACTGCCCGTCCCAGGACTCGTCGGTGCGCTTCTTCGGCAGGCACCTGTAGTCTACACCGTTGTCCATCGCGCCATGGATGGCACGTCAGGCGGCGGCGACGGCAGCGCGCGCGCGCACGCACACGCGTCGACGACGCCGAGCACGCCGATGTTCTGCGCTCCGCGGCGGACGGTGCGGGCGAGTATGAGGAGCGCGTCGATGTGGCCGACGATGCGGGTGACGACGTTGAGGAGCTTGGCGTTGTCGAGCAAGTCAAACGTGTCACAGATCGCCTGCGCAGCCCTGGAAGCGCCCCGTGTCCTCGCGCACGCGCCCGTAGGGCCCGAGGGCGTTGAGGACACCGAGCATGCGGTCGAGGAAGGGGAACGTGCGCCGGGTGTTGAAGTACTCCTCGAGCGCCTCGATCGCGTCGCGGTGCGGGTAGGGTGGTACCTAAGAGACTTCTTGAGGAACGAGACCGACGCGGGGCCGCAGATCGCGAAGAGATGGGTGGGGAGCCGAGCGAGGGCCAAGTCCTTGAGGGAGATCATGGACCTTGGAATAGTGCTCCAGGGCGGTTTGACGAGCAGCCGGCCCCACATGTAGAGCATCCTGCAGGGGGTGATCACACGCGATGGAGAGGAGGGATGGCGAGGACGAGGATACGGGAGAGAGAGCAGAGAACGCACCTGATCATGTCCATCGCGGGCCAGATCCTCCCATACATGCTCAGGTGGGATCTCAGCGAAGGTGGGGCGGCGGCTGCCGTGCGATGCTCTTGGGTGAAGGTCTTGGGTGAGGGGTTTCAGCGGCCGATGATTGCACCCCTGCAAGTACTGTAGCTAGATCAATATCACTACGTATATATGAGACAGCGAAACGGGGGGCAGAGAGCCGGTCTCGACTGTAAAGCGGGCTGTGGCACACGCGCTGCAACTTATACCACTTCGCAAGTGTTTGCACTCACCTCGACTCGGGCGCTCCGTTGTCACTCGTGTCCATCGTGTCCATCTTGTCGCACTGACTTCAAGGTGTATCAATTCCAAGGCGGTACGCATACGAGACGAAGGACGTACCCGGGCATCATCGCCACAGCGTTCGGTCGCACTGCGGATGTTTTATAGCACAACTCAGTGCGCATATAATTACCCAAAGAATGAGCTATACTCGCCTTTGCTCCGCCCCAAAATCCCGGGAAAGCCCGTAACACTCTTCATGCACATATAACTGCGGTTGATCCAACCGGATCGGAGGTGAGGCACACCTGGCTGGGGATAAGTGAACCGCCGGTGGGCTGAGCAAGGGCTGAGCACAGGGACTTTGCAGGCACTCAAAGGTAACGGACGACGAGCCTACTGATAGAGCGGTGCGGCGTTGCGCGATGGGGTGTGGGGGAATGTCATGGTGATGGTTGGACATGGCACTTAGGCCTGAGGAAGGATGGGGGAATGAAGCAAGGGAAATGCAGGGTGCTTCTCGACGCGCAGACGCTTTAAGACGCGCGAGGTGAACAGGTCACGTGGGCATAATTGGTTGCCTGTTATCGAAAATGGCCCGGAAATCCGGATCCCAGTATATACGCGGGATATGTGTTGGATATACAACCTATCCTAAACATTTCCTGACGGGAAATTTGGCGTGATGTGCAGTGTAAAGGAGTTAATCCATGTCGTCTAATTCATGGAGGCGCGATCAGTGTCACCGAAGACTTGAAAGGACATAGGCAAACTCTTTTGCGCGACACCCCCTGCCTTCTCAGTGATTGCACTGTGGACGAAGAACTTTAGCACTGAAAATGCAACGCAATTGTCGACGCCGAAGCACCCACCGCCACTCGTTGGCCGCTGAATGCCTGTCGGAGCATCAATACAGCATACACACGACGACAACGCACTGCTCGGGGGACGCTGCACGTGGCGAGCACGATGGATCGAGTCGAAGTAAGTACAAGACACAGGCGACATCCGCTGTTGGCGCGACGCGCTACGGGCGTCTAGTCGGAGCGGAGGCCTCCGACGGCAGCGGCTGCTCCGCCTCCTCCTCCTTCTCCACCTCCGCCTCCTCCGCCTTCGCCTGTGGCTTTCGAACTTGCCTCCTGCCCCCCCTCCCCCGCGTGCCCTTCTCTCGTCTTCTCTCTCCTTGCCGACTGTGTCCCTTGCCCCCCACTCCGCCGCCGCCCCAAATTTTCCCCCTGCCAGCACCACCGACTGCCCATCCATTCGACTTCCCACCCTGCAAATCATTGGACTGGCCGGATGGAGGCGCGTCTCACATATGCATACGCCATGGAGAGGGCGGAGGGGGCATGTAGTCGGGGCCGGTATGTGGCATACCTGTAGCAGCCGCATTCTCGCAATATACGCATTTTCTCGTCCACATCCTTCCGTCCTTTGTCTGCTATCCCCCTGCTGCCTCTACGCGTTGGTGCCGCTGGCCACTTCTGCCATGAAGATTGAACCAGCGAACCAGAGAGAGTCGTCGCCCATCTAGTGCCATCACCCTCACCCGACTAGACCCTCCAGAGTGCTGCACGCACGAATCCGCCGCAAAGCTCCTGCATATCTCGACCTTGTCTACGCGGCCCGCCCAGTATTTTGCACGCTTCACCATATCCACGCACCCTGCTCTGTGTTTGTTTTCCGCGTCCCGATGCTCCATTCATGCGCGAAGCATTCCCGACGGCACGTAGAACCAGCCTTCGAGCGATCCCATCCACATAGCCCTCTTATTACAGTGTTCAAACAACTCCGTGCCCCAACGGAGGACACTCTCCACCGTCGCCCACGTTGCAGTTTGTACATCCGGCACACCTTATGCATGCACCACCCGCCTGCGTTTTTTGACCTCTGCGACCCTCTTCTCAGACTCTCCTCGCGGGACGTGGACAGTCTTTCCGCACTGGAACGACGAGGTTTGCGACCAAACGCGCTTTTGGACCCTGCGCCGCACGCTTTCTGTGCCTTTCCGCTCCAGCGGCTTGGGCACGTTCACGAGGCTCGCTTCCGGACCGCCGCGCTCTGTATGTCCACACGGCCTCAACTTCCTGCAGGTGCGTTGCTCTTGTCCAAGTAACGCGTCGTCCCCTGAGCACTCATGTATGAACAGATATCGCCCAGCTTATGGGTCGCAGCACGCCCAGGCATTCGCTCGGGGGCGACGTGCGCCGCCTTTGCCCGCCCTGGATGTCGTGGAGGCCTCGTCAACCGCCCTCGATCTTCTTTCTGATCCACCCATTTGAACCGTCGCTCCTCACGGACTGAGCACTCGCCAAATCCCCGCCACCCAGATGCTCGCCGCTGTTCCCAACCCATTCCTCCACCGTTCCCCGTCCTGCGCTCGGCCGCGCAAATGCCGGTACGTCTCTCGCGGGGCTGCCTGACACGAGCTCATCGAACTTCAGGCGGTTTGCTCTTGTTTGGTTGAGCTACATCGCCGGGAGCCCTACCCCCGCCTCTCATCACGGTGATCCGGTAATCACGGTCAAAATCCTCCTTGCGAACGTCGCTGTCGTCCTCTCCGCAACGTACCGCACCCACCCGAACCTGCTGATCCTCGCCGCGTTCCTCGATTTCGCGTTGGCATGAACGTGCCCTCGCCCAGCGCGCGGGATGCCTTCGGCGCGTTCATCGCCGCCCAGGGTGCGCTCTACGACGCCGGCTGGGGCGGCTACGCCAACGTCGTCCCCACCGTGGCCGCGTGGAACTTCACCACGTTCATCATCAGCCCGTCTGCGGACCGTGCCGCCGCGAACGCGAGCATCCAGGCCGTCTTCGCCGCCGCGCAGGACCCCGCGCTCGTCCTCTCCCGCGCGACGACGGTGCCGTTCGCGAGCTGGGCAGCGTGGTACAACGTGCTCGGGTTCAACATGACCGCTGCCGTTAGGCACGTCGGGATCCCCACCGCGCTCGGCTCGCACCTCCTCCCGCGTGCGCTCGTCGAGGTTGACCCGGCGCACGCCGCGGACGCGCAGATCGAGTACTGGTGCATCGCAGTCCCGTGGCATGCGCTCTGTGGAACACGAGGCTGATTGTGCCGGAGTCTTGTCGCGCCCGGCGGCGAGGCAGCGGGCGTCGCCCTGGACGCGATGGCGCTCAGCCCGGCGTGGTGCGGCGCACTCGCACAGGTCATCGTTGGGGAGGTCTGGACGGAGAGCGAGGGCGACACCGCGGACGAGGTCGACGCGGTCATGGACCGGATCGAGGCGAGCACCCGGGTCCTGCGCGAGCTCGCGCCCGACTCGGGCTGCTACTTCAACGAGGTGAGCGTGAGCGGCACGCGGGGGTGCGAGGAAGCTGACGGTCGTGGATCGCAGGCGTCGACGCTCGAGCCGGACTTCCGGCAGGTGTTCTTCGGGGCGAACTAGCCGGCGCTGAAGGAGGTCAAGGCGCGGTACGACCCCCATCAGCTCTTCGTGGTGAACAAGGGTGTCGGGTCGGAGGATTGGGACGCGGACTTGACGTGCCGGGTGTGATGGGCGGAACGCACCCGGCCACGCGACCACGTGACGGACGCGCATGCTCCTGTGACCGACTGAGGGTCCGAATATCATCGGCGCAAACCTCTAGCCGGGGCGATACTTCTGTCCACAACGCGTGTCGACCGTGGCATGCGATCGTCGACGACGCGGCGAAGCTCTGCTGCTTGAAACCTCGTTGCAACGGTATGTCTTGTGCATTCTTGGGATTGCGCAGCTGACCCATTGATCTCAGGGGTGTTTAAGTTCATCTCCGCTCAAACCAATGGTCGTCCGAGGCTGTGCGGGCGGGGAGATCTAGAGCATCGCCCATGTCCTTCCTGGAGACGGCGTTGAGCTGCCCTCCGATCCCGCTGTCTGCTACGTCTATCTCGGCGACGTCCCAGCTTCGCACCTGGGAGTTCGCATATAGTGCCTATTCGCACGCATACACTGTCATTGATAACGAGCGCGGCTGAGACAATCACGGTTGCTGGAGTCTACTCCTGCGATCCAAGCATCGGCGAACACGCACGATACTCATCAGAGTTTGACACGTTCATGGCAGGGAAAGACGTCATCTCGCCCTGGGAGCGCGAAGCCGGCCCACGCTCTGTCCGCCTTTGTTTCTCAGGAGAAGCATCGGAGGCGCTCCAACGCTATCGCGTGTGTGTTCCGCATGGTGGACCGTGCGGTGGGCGTATGCGGCTGGGGTCGCCCTCGCAGCAACTTGGCCTCTTCCACCTCGCCCTCAACCCCTCCGACGTCTCCTCCCGTCTACCTTGTGTCTCCTCCCAGCCATCAACGCTCATTGTGATATCACGGTGACCACCGCAAAACAGATCCACTGTCGCGGATACTCTCATCGTACGTGCGCTCTTCCGATGATGTGTATCGCATTTGCTCATGCTCCCCAAGTGTCTGTACTCATCCCGCGAATCGTACACCTCCTCTCGCACCCGGTATTAGTGCACAGTACCTTTGCGTGACACGCCCGTTCTAATATTCGTGATAGAAGCGATGTGGCTCCTGGGCACCGCGCGCGCGAACCTCGTCTTCTTTCCCCAACCCGAAGACGTTCCTAGAGGCTATGCTATCCTGTCGCACACCTGGGGAGAAGAAGAAGAAACGTTTCAAAAGGTTCAAAGGCTGAACGAAGAATCCAACAGCCCCTTCTCCCCGGAAGAACAGCGTCCCTTGCCCCGAGCCGAGCTCCGATCTCTCATCTCCCAGGCAGTCTCTGAAGAAGCCGCGGTTCACCGCGACGAGCTCCGCTGTCTCGTCTCCCAGGCAGAAGTGACTCGCAGAGACCTGGAAGATGCTCTCCATCGAGCGGAATCCCAGATCATGCAGAACCTCGAATTTCCACCGTACCTACGCACCCCTTGCAGTACTGAGACCTCCCCCGTTGTCCACGATCGCACTGAAGAGAATCGCCGGGATAGTCGATCATCAGGTAATAGATGCGGTCCCGGTTAGTGAAATTACAGCTCGTTTTTCCTCCTCGACACTGACATATGAGACCCAAGACCGCTCCACAGATTCAGATCCACGTGCTCCTGCGATCCCGCTTTCCCCTACTCCTGCACCGGTCCAAGGACGTGCCGAGCCACACCCGTTGTCACCACCATGGTTCAACCCACGCGATCGCCTCACTCCAAAAGTTCGATTATTTCTTGAGCTCGTCGAACAGCACGGGTACGAGTACGCTTGGGTCGATACGTGCTGTATCAACAAGGATAGCAGTTCCGAGCTCTCGGAAGGCATCAATTCCATGTTCCGGTACTACGCACTCTCCAACATCTGCTACGTCTACCTCAGCGACGTCCAATACTCAGACACTGATTCGGACAAGATGTGGCGCGCCTTCCGAGACAGCCGCTGGCACGAGCGGGGCTGGACTCTCCAAGAGCTTATCGCGTCCCGCATCCTCGTGTTCTATTCCAAGGAGTGGATATATCTGGGCACCAAGTACGAGCTCGCCGATCGACTAGAAAAAGCAACCAAGATCTCTGCGGAGGTCCTCCGCTTCGAGCCCCCGTTTACCGATGAGACCATCGCGACGCGCATCTCCTGGGCGGCACGTCGGTCCACCACGAGGCCGGAAGACGCCGCCTACAGCCTCTTTGGACTTTTCGGGGTCAACATGCCGACACTGTACGGCGAAGGGCGGCTCGCATTCTGCCGGCTCCTCATGGAGATCTCGAAGACCTCGCAGGATCCTTCGATTTTTCTCTTGGGAGAACGGCGGCATGTGAACAACTTGGATGACCTCAAATCGTACCTCCCGCGAAATCCCCAAAGCCAACCCCGTCGTCATCTTCTCCCCCTCCAGCCTTCGTGGTTCCTTCGTTCTGTGTTCTACGACGCAAGTGCACGATCTCAGACAGGACAAAATAAGGTACGCTGGTATGGATATCATTCTACGCTGCGCTACATTGACGACCATTTGAGCGCCACTGGTTTGCAAGGACGACCGCAAAACTCCGTGCTCCCACGTTCTCCGTTTCACCAGATAGAATCGAGCTCCGCGCGGCCGTTCTGCCTCTGGATGATACGAATAGATTCATCCTCGTCGATTTATTCTGCAGAGATCCCGAACCCCTCTTCCTCTTGCTCCAAAGGGTGGACAATAAGAGGTCCAACGATGGCGCTGCTCCGCTCTACCAGCCCGCGGAGGAACCTGTTGTGTGCATGGAGGAACCAAGCACGGCCCGGATCGCCTCACATGTCTGGAAGATGACAGACCTGCGCGTTGTGGCCCTCCCGCCGTACACTGGTGACCTCTCCGAGCACAAAACCGCAGGGATGGAGTTGCTTAAACGCTTCTGCGAAACCACCACTACCAGCTCCCCCTTTCACCTTGCCTTTCGCGACTTCCTCCGGCTCAGGGACAAGCACATCATCTTCGACGGCGAAGCAAGCACCCTGCCGTCGCTTTCTTCCACCGAAAACGTCTTCCTTTTTTTCAGGTGCAGCCGGCTTCTACAGTTGACTGTCGTTCTCGGGACATGCTCTCACGGCAAGTCCCCCAGCAACAACTAGTGATCACCACGGGTCACCCCGGGGTCATGGCAGCTGGACCCGGACCCGGACCCGTGAAACCCGGGACCCGCAGACCCCCGGGTCACTGAGCTGACGGGTCGGCGCCTATACACACGGGTTTGCGCGGGTCGTACCCCCCACGGGTCACCCGAGGGTCAGCACATCGAGAGAGAAGTGATTGAATACTTAGATGCAGAGAGCGTGCATATCGCAGGTGGGAAAGTGCAACAAGCATGGGGGGGAGCGTGACTAGACATAACATAACGTCACAACAGAACATACATGACATGTACCTTAACCACGCGCGAGCTCGATTCTATCGTATCCCTTCAGCATCTTGTAATCGAGAACATCATTCTCTTCTACTTCATCCAATGCAGCAACCCGGAGAACATCCTCGCTGTGAATAAATCCAAGGCGAGACCAGTCGCCAAGGCACAGGAGAGCGCGGGTCGTCTGCGCAGAAAGTCGGTTGCGCACGTGAGGCAGCAACAAACGGCCCCGGCTGAAGAGTCGCTCAACGTCGATAGAAGTAGCTATCAACAAGCATAGACGTTAGTGTGAAGACGCAGTGAATGAAGACGGCTCTGAAACTCACCGGGAATCATCAGAAAGTCGCGTGCCATGCGGCTCAAGCATGGGTACTGCTTCGTGTGCGAATGCCACCAGTCGAGTGCATTGTCGACGGGGACAATTGGCTCCGCAAGGTAGCGCGTCAATTCGTCCTTGTCGATTGAATCTCCCCGGACCGGAAGGAAGTTGTAGTTGTCAAACATATTGACATCTTCGTCGTCCTGCAAGAAATGGATTCAGCGTCTGACACACTAGACAGCTCGCCACACCGGAAATGGGCTGCTCAACGCGCCCGACACGAGCAGCTCAACGCGGGTGATGTGGGGCAGCTCTAACGAACGCAGCTCAATGGCGGCCGCTGCGCCTGACACGGGCAGCTTTTAATGTGGGCGACACGGGCTGCTCAACATGGGCGTTGCGGGCCGCTCAGTACAAGTGACATGAGCTTGTCGATGCGCCCCGCACGGGCTGCTCGACGTGGTGGATGCGGGCAGCTTAATACACCGCATACGACTTGCAGCTCGTCGCGCCCGCAACGAGCTGCTCAAGGCGGCCGACGCGGCCAGCTCGACACGGGCGATGTGGGGCAGCTCAATGTGGGCTCCGCAGGCGACACGAGCTGCCCAACGTGACGCCCACAACGAGCTGTTCAACACGGACGACGCGGGCAGCTCACCGCGGGCAACGCAGTCGGTTCGACGTGGGTAACATGGACAGCCCAATGCGGGCGATGCAGGCGACGAGAGCATCCCAACATGCCCGCAACGAGGTGCTCGACATGACCGATAAGGGCAGCTCGATGCGCCTGCAACGAGCTGCTCAAGACGGCCGACGCGGGCAGCCCGACGCGAGCGCCGTGGACAGCTCAATGCGGGCGACGCAGGCGACGTGAACCGCCCAACACGCCCGCAACGAGGTGCTCAACATGGCCATCTTGAGCAGCTCAACGCGGGCGATGCGGTCGGTTCGATGCGGGTGACGTGGACAGCCCAATGAGGGCGATGCGGGCAGCTCAATGCGGGCCACGACGCGGGCGACACGAGCTGCTCAACACGGCCGATGGGGACAGGTCGATGCAACCAACATGGTCGGCTCGACGTGGGCGACACGGGCAGCGTGGGCGCCCTGACGTGACCGATGCCTGAGGCAGCCTCTCGATACGCTCGGACGACCCATAGTACAGCTTAATGCATAAGAAACCTGATAGTAGAACGTACCTTATCGTCGCGAGACCGGCGTGTTGCAGACGCTGCATTGTCATGGTCGTCCTGCTCGACAGTCGAGTCGGAGTGCTTGTAGTTCGAATCGTACTCGTTGCGGACGAGAGTCTTGGCAGTCTCAATCCACTCATCTTGCCAGTGATGAGTCTTGAAGTACTCGAGCTTGAATCCCGGGTGCAACACTGTTACAGACGAGTCTGATTAGCTACAATGTACGAAGAAATGGCATTAGAACTCACCCATGGCGATTCGATAGCACTCCGAAGAGTCTGTGAGCTCGTAGTACTTGTTGAGAACCTGCTGCACAAATTTGTGAGCAAACCGGATGGCCGGGTCGTAGGGTACACCCTTTGAGGTCTTGCTTCCCGGCAGCGCAGTGGTGGTGAGGCGTTCGTCGAGGACGTCCATGACCGGGATGACGCTTGCAAGGTTTGGTGTGCTGCGGGAGAAGAAGAGCGTTGCATCCTTGAAGACCTGTTGAGGTTGGACGGAGAGAGATGGGGATGGGGAAGTCGGTGAGGTATGGAGACAAGACGAGAGAAGATGAGGACACGGGGATACAGTGCGAGAACAAGAAAATGAGGAAAGGACGAAGAGATACCGTGTGGATGCGGCGTGCACGTGGGGACGATCAGATAAGGACGAATGGAGATAATGTGCAGAGACAATGCGGGGAGGCAGTGTGGGGAGACGAAACGAAGGCGCACAGAGACAACACAAGGAGTCGGACAAGACAACGCGGATAGTCGGACGAGACAAGGACACGGGGAGATGAGAGAGACAACATGGCAGTGGGAACGAGCGGAAAGATGATCAGAACAAAGAAGAAAAGTGCGAAAAGAAAAGACACATACCTTAAGCACCTCCAGCAGCTGCTCGGCAATCGACCATTCCCGCCTAGAGAGCTGGTACTCCTCGAGATCCAGAGGATGGAGGTCGTTGTCGGCCTCACAGAAGGACTTGATGGCCGTCTTCAGGCGGACAGCCCGTTTGAGCATGTCGTGAGTTGAACACCACCGTGTTCTGACGTCTTGCTTCAGCATGAGAATGCCCTGATTGAGCGCCTCGAGCTGCTTCTTCCATGCTGGCAGCAGGATTGTTGTCGACTTGCGGATGGTGGCGGCCAGGCGACGGAGCTTAAGAAGACGAGAGAGACTGGCAGTGAGGCGTTGAACAGACGATAGGAGTGGGAACTTACCTTTGTAAGCATCAAGCGCACTGGGCGGAGATTCGAGCGGAACTCGCGGAGCTCGCCTGGGGTCATTCCGGACATGTCGTCGACCCACTCGACCTCGTCCATGAGCCCCTCGAGGCCGTCCTCGGCGTCTTCTTCTTCTTCATCCTCGTCGCCCCCATCCTCTGCATCCTCCGCATCCTCGTCCCCCTCTGCGGCAATGTTGTCTTCCTCACCTGGCTTCTTCTTATCTGGGTCGAACTGGTCGAGCAAGCCCCGGCCGACGAGCTGGATAACATGTCCGAAGCAGGCAACATGTCCGGAAGATGCCCGGAACTTCTGAAGACCCTTCTCCATCGTCTTGATCATTGCCAAATTGGCGGAAGCACTATCGCAGGCGACACCAAGGAGCTGTGTGAGTAGTCTGATCAGTTATCTTCATATGTTTGTACGCTTTCTGAGGCACACACCATCTCCTTGATACCAAATTCGCATAGGATGCGGATCTGAGTTTCACCGAGGGTCTGACCTGTGTGCGACTAGCAGATCCCATGGTCAGCGCCGAGCGGACACTGGAGAGGTGGGCAAAACATCGAGGTACGCACTTTTGCCACCTCAACGACGTCGAGCACCATGCTCAGCGGCTCTCCGTCGTGCTCAAAGTGCACGATAACTGCCATGAAAGCGTTCCCATTTGGAGACGACCAGCAGTCCGTTGATATGCTAAGTCGTCCTTCGTACTCCTGTAATCTGATGAGTACTAAAATGTCCTCTAAAGCCCGCTCTGCTCACCCGAAGAAGACGGCTGATCCGAGTGCGCGAGCGCGCGAAGAGCGTCTTCACATCGCGCGCGACCGTTGAAGCGGATGGGATCCAGTATCCCGGTCTGCCCGTCTTCAGTAGTGACTGGAGACGAGCGTCCTTGATGATATCAAACGGACGGTAAGATTCCGCGACCCATCGCGCAAACTCCGCACTAATATGGTCATCAATACAGCAATCAAACCAGGCTTGGATAGAACATACCGTGTCTCAGTGCGCGTGTGCTGGCGATGAGAGTATGTCACCGGTCCCTTCCCCTTGCGCTCGAAGAAGGAGGTGACGTCCCCACTCTCCGAGGCATTCTTGCCGAAGCGCTGACGAACCTCTCCAGGCGTCATCGTGGCCTTGACCACGCGCTTCACTGCATCTTCGCCAAAGCAGTTTTTTGCGTGCCTTGTCATGTTGCCAGTTGATGTCGCGTCGCCTTTGTCGATGTAGCGATTAACAGCCTTTTTGATACAGCCTTTAGCCATGCACTCGAAGACGTGCACGCGACGTCCGTCGATGTCCGCGATCTTAGGGATGGGCTTGAAAAAACCGTAGATAGGGGAGTCCCACCCACGGTCCATCATGGCCGCTATACATGCCGCAACGTTAGTGAGTACATCTTCAGCCAGGATTACGACAAAGTCACACTCACCAAGCTGCTTTAGGCCCTTATCATCGTCCTCGAACCACGGCACACCATTTGTTCCCTTGGTGAAGGCTGGCGCCGGCGAGTCTGACCTCCCACTGTCCGAGTCCGAGTCGTTAATGTTGATTACATCATGATGTGCAGCCGCCTCCTCCTCTTCGGACAAGCAGTATGGTGAGTGATAGCCCCCCGTCTTCCGAGTCGGCTTCACAACACCCTTTCCAGACTTCGACCGCTTCTTCGGCTTCCGCGCCTTCTTGCGATGCGCACTCGGCCCTTTATCAGCTGCAGCAGCGTCACCAGCAGGCTTTGCGCGAGGTGGAGCGTCACCAGTGGCAGCAGGCTTCGCGCGTGGTGCGGCATCGCTGGCGGGCTTCGCGTGGGGTGTGGCGTCACCGGTGGGCTTCGCGCGGGGTGGAACGTCACCAGCAGGTTTTGCGGCACCACCGGTGGCCTTCGCGCGGGGTGCAGCATCGTCGGTGGCCTTCGCGCGGGGTGCGGCATCACCGACGGCCTTCTCGCAGGGTGCAGCGTCACCAGCAGGGGCTGCTACACTCGCACCCGCGGCACCAGGCTGACCTCGACGTGAGTATATATCATTTAGTGCAGAATGGTTGAAGACTCACCACCATTCCCTCGTCTTCAAGCATCCGCTGAGCCCTCTTTGTGAGGGTGCGATGGCGCTTCTCCGCCGGGGCATCTTGCTCCACCGAAGGGGATGCGGGACGCTTTTGAGGTGGATCAGGGTGGACAGTGGTGGAAGTCGACATCAACAAGATAGACGCAGAAGTGGGTGGAAAGGCAGACTCGCAGAGACGGGGCGGAGAGGACAGGGAAAGTCTCATCATTATATAATCCTATAACTGTACAGTAGGTGGCGCTAGCCACTCAGGGTCAGGCTGAAACCGGCACGGGCTGCTGGAAGCGCCCAACCAGGATGTTCAGTACAGTGTGACATAACCGCCGGGTTACCCACGGGTCAATGCACAAACGCGCGGGTCGGCTCCTCACCACCCGGACCCGGACCCGCATGACCCGGACCCGGGACCCGGCCGGGTCAGGCCCACCCGTGGTGATCACTAGCAACAACCACCTGCGCTCATCTAGGGTAACCTCGCTGTCATCTCAAACTGCGACGAATACGCCAGGTCCAGACGTACCGCGCCGACAACACTTCTGCATCCTTCGTCTTTCCTGGGCCAATGAAGCAACCTCCGCTGCCGAGGAGGTGCATTCGTGCGAGACGGATCATATCGAC